TACTCCACCGTGCCTCCCGACTCTTACCAAAATGAATTCAATAAAACTAAGTTTTTTTTTCTCTGACAGTTGGTGCTTGCATTAAATACTTTTAATTTTTCAGTGCGATTTTGAAATTCATCCAGTTACTTTTTGTAAAAAGAGTTTTTTGGGTTTAAATTTATTAAATAAAGATGTTTTAAGAATGGAAAGCTTGCCATTTTTGAGTCTGAACCTTAATAAAGGATTTTTTTTTAATTTTAGCAACTTTTAGATTATTTTTATATGGATGTTCAAATAAGAAATAATTCTGAATTACCGCTTTTGATTGTATACTCTTCCCTATCGGAACTACCACATGGTATATAATAATTCAATAACTGTTAAAATTCACAATGATTAAAAGAAAACTCATTGGGTGCAATTAAATATTTTATGACATCAGGCAGGTAAGAAAATAGTAAAAAAATAAAATAAATAAAAGCAATGTATTAAATTCAAATTAAATTCAGAAGTATCATTCAACTAAAACAAAAAACATTAATTTGGCATAAAAAATTAAATTATTCATTCAACCTAAAAACATAAAAAATATATATATATTCTTAAACTATTGATTATATAGGGTTAGAAATAATTTATTTTAAAACATAAATACCATTTTCTTGAGTATTGCACTGTTGGTGTTTCGTATTTTTTTTTTTTTTTTTTAAATTTTTTCGCGCGCTTTTCGAGAAAGATTATCGTATAAAATTACAACTGTAGACCTAAGACATCACAGGCTATATAAACGTAAATAAACGTTATTTTCATTGTTTACAAATAAGTATTACGTTTACAAAACCCAGTTAATTAATCCTTAAGTTTACTGACTTTGAAACACATCTCTAGATCAAATATTGGATTTTAAAGAAATTATTAAAATCTGTTGATAACATTTAAAAAAGTAAAAAAAAAAAACTAATGGCAGTTCGATGAGTAAAAACGTAGCAATGTTTTAAAAATGCCTAAAAACTTTTAGAGAAATTTATTTTCCTTTTAATACGGATTGTATTAAAAGAAAAATAAATTCTAAAATTCATTTAGCTTTATTGCTATTATCTTTCAAATAAAAGCAAATTAGCTTCAAAGACATTTAATGCGTTTTCGGGATTTCTTTACGAAGTCCGTAGTGGTACCTCGTTTGTCTTAGTGCCATCATACTCGATTTTATATTTTCTCAAGTAAAAAGATAAAAAAGACTCAAAAGCGTTTTTTTCTACATTCTTTTTAGGTAATGTTCTTTAAAAGCTTCTGTGTTTTAATCTTTATAACTGTGTTGCCTTAATTTCGTCAAAGAATATGGTCATGCGGTACAATTGGCAAAATTTAAATTCCCTTGAAATAAAATATAAAAAATAAAATATATTTTTCTCGTTAATACGCTATCATTTATTAAAATTAATGACTTTAATTTATATTTTTGAACTTTGAATTTTGGTAGGGTATTTGGGTAGGGTGCCACTTTCCATAAATACGATTCTAAAGGGAAAGTACTATTTTTCCATACTCTCTTCGAGTTGGCGCTGAAGTCTTCGCTCCGACTAAGACGCGTTTCTTAGAAGAAAATATGGGGAATTGAATTGTACTGAAAACTCATTGTTAAGTTGGTTTTCGGTATCAACTGAAAACTAGAATTTGGAACGCTGTGCATGACACTCTAGCAGATAGTTTTTCTCTATTTTTTTTTTCACGTAGCAGCTCGTACATTCGTGCACTTGTAAAATCTGCAATGGCTAATATGTCATAGCTGTTGCGATTCCCGTTTATCCTTTTCATATATACTCTGATCTACTTCTTGTTTCTCGCTTGCTATTTCCAAGTAATTTTTATCCGATAAAAATAAAAACTCTAGCAGACACACGCGAACATTCATGCTACTAGTGTGTGTCTCGCTTTCCCATTGGTTGGACGTCAACAACAGTGTGTAGAGACACACATCACAGTTCGGCACGCCTCCTTGGGATAAGGAACGATGAGAATCGTTGCAACTGGATGGGTTTTCCAGTTTTCTTGTAGTACGAATCTCTCTTCTCGATAAAGCAAGTTTCCACGGCTAAAACAACTCTCTCCAAACAGGAAAGGATAACAATGAAAGAGAGAGAGAGAAATCCATGTGACGTCTGCTTGTAAGAATTTATATATACGGATATTATTTTTATTAATTGTTATTTAATTCTTTTAAAAATGAGTTAAAAAAATCTTTCCTATTCTTGAAAAAAAAAAAAAATACAAAAAGAAAAAGAAAAACTGGAAGTACAGCTAAAAAACAAACGTTTCTTTATTGCCATGTTAATTGAGCGCTCTTTTGTCTGTTAATGTTATTATTTTGTACATGTCTCTCTCTTTGATTAATTTTTATCGTAGTTCAACTGATTAAGAACAGTAATACTAATACTCTTTCCTGGAGTTCATTTTTTTTAACATTGTACGCTGAAGCTTTTCGTAATTCGGGAAATTGTTTAAATTCAGTCTGACAGCTTATATACGCAGTTCTAACACGTATCTACTTATTTTGAAATGAAGAAAAAAGGTTTTCCATGCTTCCATTTCTTTTTTTTTTTAAATGGAATAATATTTTTTGCTTGAAGGCAGTCGGTACTCGGTACTATTACACTTCCTCCTTGCCATTCTTGATAGGTATATTTTCAGGCTAATACACAGTGGAAAGGTTACTACTAAGAGTCTCTTAAAAATACCAACACGAAAAATAGAAGTAATTTTAAGAACTTAAATCAGAGCTATTACTTTTAATATCAGTCTTCTATTTCAATATAATTTTGGTTTGGCTATTCTTTCGTTTTTGATTACGATATTTCAGCTCAAAGGAAAGTTGAATCGGCACATTTTATTTCAGTAAAAGGGTAAAACCACTGCGGCGTTGAAATTTTGTTTATTTGGGTGATAATATCATGTTTGTAAGCTTTGTGAATAAGTAATTTGCTTTTTCGAGACTGGGCTTTAAATGCATTACAATTTGAATTAAGTCATGATAACAACACCACGTCTTTGCTGATAAAACAGAAGAATTGATGTTATTTACGAGTGTAACAGTGAGTAAAATAAGACAATTTTAAATGGGAAATCATTTTATTTTATAACCCAAACAGACGGTTATGCTGATGACTTCACTCAGTAATTGAGTAAATTTTTAAAAATCATGAAATTTGTTACAGTGAAATGATTTCACTAACAAATTGGAATCAGAAAGTCCTGTCAATTATTTATACAACAAAAAATAAGTTATGAATTAAGCTTAAAATTAAAACAAACATTATTCCTTTCAATAATTATGTATTGACTTGCAAATTATCAAGGTAAACTGTTTTTTAAAGTGATCAAATCAACATATTCAACAATTATAAAAAAGTAAAAACTAAGATGCCATTTTTTTTATATCGGTCAAAAATACACCTGCTGAGTTTAAGATAAAAAAAAGGAAAAAAACACTGAACAAAAAAAAAAAAAAATCAATTTCCCCAGCAGAACGCCGAACTTATCCTGTTTGTTGCTGGACACACGTACACAGACAGGCAATCAAACTCTTCTTAAGAATAGAAAATCTATATTGTCATTATCGAGTATCAGTCTAACTCTCTCAAAATGTATAAAAAAAATAGACTAATTGAAGAAATGAGTGTACGAAGATTGATCTATAGCCCTAAAGTCGTGAATTAGGTAAAAAAAAAAAAAGAGACGTCAGCACAATAAAACTTTTAACAATGACGGAAACTATCAGTGAATTTAAAGAGAAAATTTCTCTTCGATAATAATTGGATTAATTGCCAGTTTATGATTACAAAATCGAAGTTTTTGTGTAAAAACGAAACCATATATAAAATTAAAAATATATGATTTGTCTTTAATGGCATGACCTGTATATACCAAATTGGATTCGCAGTTTGATTAAAACAACATTCATTCTGCAGGAAAAGTTTAACAATTATTACAGCAGACGAATTAGTTGTCCGAGTTACTGTCCAGTCCTGCACTTAAACTAAGAGTAAGAAAACTTAATCCAACTCACGAGTTTCGATTTAGTTAGAAAATACACTTACTCGGATGGTGAACTGAGTATTTGTTCAGTTTGGTACGATAACGGCTAAAATATAAACGAGATTGTATACTAGACAAGTAAAGTACGTTAAGCCTTTTTCCATTTACCGTGCACTAAAATAAATATTGAAGATAATTATTCATTAGATTAAAAAACAAACAAACCTGTAACTGTTTATGACATACACCAGGTATTTTTTTTTTTTCAGTGAATGTCATCAACACTGAGAACGAAACGATTTTTAATTTGTAAATATTCATGTAGCTACGGACAAGGATATGTGTCTGGTGAAGTTTTAATCTTCATCAGTTTTTTTAGTTTCAAATACGACGCAAGATAAAAAAAGCCCTTTTCAAGAAGTCAGGTATCCCCACCACCTTTTTTTTTTTTTTGTTTCCTTTATACTAACTACAGTATAACTAAAATTTGTGATGCACAAATTTTTGATGATTATATCAAGTGAGACTGATAAAATAAAAATTGCATCAGGACAAAAATAAAAACAAGAAGAGGAAAATGGAGGAAAAGAAAAACTAAAAAGACAAGCATAATAATAATAATTAATACAACAGCAACTCGTATGGTAAATGAACTAATTTGAAAAGAGCCGTCATGGATATTATGTGGATATGTTTCTTCGTTCTTTTTGTATTTTGCTGTCTTTTTCTGCTGTTGTTTTTCTACTATGATTTGAAAGAATTCTGCGTCAACAAACCTAAAGAACGAGCACCTCTCAGTTACACATCCGGGTCCTTTCTCTGCGACTGGACTTCCGGCGGTGTAGGGGGAATAGTTGCTTCCGGCAGCACAGCCACCACAACGCACAAGGACCATGTTACAGCCCATCATTACCGAAATCAATTCTCTTCGGATCATTCTGGCGAGCGGTTCCCCTCGCCGGAAGGAGATATTGGAAAATATAGGCATGAATATCGAGGTGGTACCGTCAACTTTTAAGGAAGACCTCGACCCAACTTCTTTCGCCTCGCCGATTGAATACGCGAAGGAAACGGCCCGGCGAAAAGCCGTCGAGGTGGCCCGTCGCCTTGGCATGGCCGAAAAGCAGAGTGGCGACAGTGTCAACTCACCCCCAGATATTGTTATCGGAGCGGATACTATAATTACTGTCGGAGATAAGATTTATGGAAAGCCAAAGGATGAAGAAGATGCAAAACGGACACTAAAAGAACTATCTGGCAAGTAAGTTGTGTGTTGTCATCACTGTTGTCTTTTACATTTACGATATAGAAAAGTGCGTTCTTGAATTTTAATTTATATTTTTTCAAGTTATACTCAGAAATCCATCTACGGATATTAAATATAAAAGAAGTGAAATAATTTCTTTTTTTTTTTTTTTTTAATAACATTTTTTTTTTTTTTTAAATGGCATCTTGATATGGTGATTTGAATATTAGGAGTCCAGCAGTTGAATTAAAAAAAACAAAAAAACAGAGGTTATTGACCGATTTTTAAAAAAATCGGTTTGGAAAAGACAAATATATTTCAAATCAGTGTTTTTATTATTCCCATGTACAGTCTTTTACTTGAGAAGAAAAAAAATGCATCTGGCTACCCACGTGAGTGACTTACCACCGGTGTTGTGTAAATGTTATTACCTCTTGTATAGAAGAAATCGTTGGGTTATTTTAGAATTGAACTTCGCCTTGTTCGAATTCCAGTTGAACCATTACATTCGCTTACGTGCTAATACCCTTGGGAGGGGCATGAATTCTCTCCCCCCCCAGTTATGGGTAAATAGCAGGACAGACCGGGTTCTATAGCCATGGATGGCAACTGGCCTATCGCAGAAAGAAATGGCAACCTACTGCGGAAAAAAAATCTGCCTCGTCAGTCATGTATCGAAAGATACATGATCGCCTAAACGTGTATCACGCATGGCACATAACTGCCGGACTTATGTATTTTTATTTGTTTACAACGTTTAGCTTCTTGTGTGGGACACCCAGTGGGCATCTATTCTAACTCATTACGGTATTATTAATAATCAACAAGACTGGCTAGCTAGCTAACCATTTTGCTACAACAACGATCATTTACTAAGCTGAATTTTTTTTTTTTAATTTTTTAGAATATGAACTTAAGACCACAAGCATGCGGCACCCAGTAAGGATAGAACTCGCTACTCAGTCATAATGATAAGTGAGACCAGTCTGTCGATCTATCCATTATACAATGAGGTGCCTGAGTAAGTATTTATTTGGCCTTCCGACTAAGGTTTACAAAATGTGACACTAGGTGAATTTTTTATGTGGGGACACCATGAACATATGTAGGCGTCTGTGATAGCATGTTTTTTTTTCATCTTAACATTAATAATAATAATAAAACTGGGTTATCATTTATGGTAAAGTGCTGTCCCTTCAAAACCCAACATATGTAGCTCTTTTAGCTGTTTCTTTCATACTTCTATGATGTATTTCAGCATTTTGCCAACTTTAACTCCGCCAGAAGCTTTCTTATTTGTGAGACTTGTTTTTTGCCATGGTATTCCTCAATTTAGCAATTGTGATAGATTGATTACTCAAAAATCAATGAACGTGGAGAAGACTTTCTGTGCAAAAAGAGCAACAGCTTATCACTGTGTGACTAATTGTTTTTTTTGTTTTTTTTTTTACGATGCACAATACAATCATATCACATTGGTACCTTTTTTGGTATGTTAAGGACATGACATAAATGTATGTGCTACTTGTAAAATGCATGCCGATAGTGACCTTCCAAAAAAAAAAAGGTACCCACATACACAACATATTACCAATAACTCAGTGGTCAGTACATTTTAACATTGCTGTCATTCCTGCTGAATGCCATTAGGAAACCGTCGAGCATACATTTTGTCGATCCAGTTCCCTGGTTTTAGCTGGGCTAAGCTCAAGCGCCAGCTGACCATCCTCGGGAGGGGTTTAGGGTCCTTACCCGGCGTCTAAAGCATCTCTAAAAGGGGAAATGCCGCAGTGAGGAGTGGGGAATTTTTCTGTGATATTGCCATGAAAAACAAGGTTTAAAGTGAAACCCACTTTAAACCTTGACCTTGTGTCACATTCAGTAGCAATGTGGGCATGCTGAAAAATCTACTTACACTGGCTCATATTTGGGGCCCACACATATACCAGCAAATTTTCAAGTGGTTGAGTAGAGTACTTTTAAAATTTATGCAGATAAATTTTGGATGAAATATTTACTACTGCTAAAAATTATCTTTTTTCCCAATTTCCCAAATATTGGTCTGCAATCTTCCCTCCTCTTTAGAGTGACAACCTCACTACACTGGGTGTTGTTGAAGTTGTTTCTGTAGCAAGTAGATTTTTTTATGGGGTGGAGTTACTAGCCCCATGCCAAAACAATTTGAATTCAGAGTTGTTTTTCTCCTAGACTGGTTGCCAATCAAGGATTGAGTTCAGTCTTCCCTGCTATTTAACACATAGATAGTTGGGAGAAGAGACAGTCATATCTTTCCAAAGGGTATTTGCAAAAATGTGAATGCAATGAACTTAGCCAGAATTTGAAGTCAACATGCCAATTTCACTTACAGTGCTGATGACAGCTATGCTACATGTGCAACTGAAATGCAATTGATAAAGTGTGAATTATTCTTCTTAGTTCTTTGATTTTCTTTTGTTTTCTTATCAAATATCAAATTGCATAAAACACATTTTCTATAAGAGACTTTTTTGTTCCGTTTTCATAAGCTTTGTGAATGTCTTATGGCCTTGTGTCAGACTAACTTGTTAACCATTGCTCAATGGCAAGACAAAGTTTTTAGTTCTTTTCAACTTACTGTTTCGTAATAGGTAATGGTCAACAAGTTAGGTATATTATTAAGGAGTTAGATCTTCAAAGTGTATCTCAAAATTGTTTCATTGTCCTTGACAATGTAATGAAATGTTATTGTCACTAAGTTTCTTGATATTTTTCTTTTTTCAATGCCATGTTCCTTCAGAAGGTAGGTGATCCTGGCTCTCCACAGGCATTATTTTATTTATTACCTTTGAGGTAGCATGATTTCTTGGGAAAGAATATTTTTGAATTCAGATTACTCCCTCTTTTAGAATGGTTGCCGCCCAAGGCTAAATAATTTACCCTACTGTTCAACGCCTTAACTGAGAGGAGAAGAAATGCATTCATGTCTTTCTCTAGGTTATTTTGTGCAAAACTCAATGGAACAGACAAAGCTGAAATTTGAATGTGGCTTGCTAAGTCCATGTTAATAAATGTTACCAATGCACCCATCTTTGTTAAATTGTAAAGATACAGAAGGTGCTTATATCCCTTTGGTAGAGATGAGTCACATCGGTCACATGATAGTTGCTTTCTTTAGTTCGGGATCCCCATGGCCCGGGCAGAGGCTAAATCTACCTCCCCAGCAGCTTACAAAACAATGGTGCTGTTTCCCTTTGTGAATGTTTTTCCCAGATATAGAATGAAATTCAAACTCACAGTCCTCTATTTGGGAAAACCAAAAATTCACTTTTTCCACATTCATAGAATATGTCTTCATTTGGGATATAGATGAATCTGGAGTCCTAAAAATGGCTTCTCCAGGTACAGAAGTATCTCCATATTTTATGTAAGGCCCTTCAGTTTTGTTTCTCCTTACACTCTACTTTGCTGTGTAGATATATATGATTTATTACTCTCCATATGGGACATATATATGTATATATAGTTTTGTGTATGTCTTAGTATTATAAAATTCTCTCTGAGAACAAAGCCTGTTTATCCTTCTTTTTCCTTTCAGCTATTCCATTCCACCTGTGGAGTTTCAGTGTTATAATAATACCCATAACAGGGGAATTACAAATGTGAGAATAAATCTTTCTCCCTAGTTCTGTCCTCTTACAAAATGAATAGTGTCACCATTTTCTATTAAAATGTTATATAAGGCCAAAATTTTGTTTTCACTTAAAGGGGAAGGCTAACATCTTTAGCTTAAACACTGAATCAAGTTTGAATGAAGAAAAGACAAAGCAAGTTTGTGATTTTGGATAGAAAGCTGGTGATGATGGGAGAAGAGACAGATTCAATATGAAAGTGAATGTAAGAGACTAGGTTAGAATTTGAACTCTGCTCACTGTTTCCATTTTTCATGTTAGTAGTGGAGTGGTTTCCCATTACCTTCTCCACAGTTTACAATTCAAACTTTTTCTTCTCTTAGACTGGGTTCCATCCAAGGCTATAAAACCTGGCCTACTCTACTATTCAAATCCTAGGGAGTGGGAGTGAGAACTTAATAATGTCGTCATTTTCCGTTTAATGTTTTGTAAGGCCAAAAGTTTGTTTTTAGTTAAAGGGTGAAGGCTCTTGCTTTGCTGACACGTTTAGTTTAAATGCTGAATTTAATTTGAGTAAAGACAAGGCAAAACAAGTTTGTGGTTTGGATATGAAAGAGACAACATAAATCCCAAATGGATATGAAGTCCTTAGTAATCAACAAGAAGTTGATAAAGCATATTTACTGTATATACTCGCGTATCCTACAACTTTTGAAGACCTAATTTTGAAGTTAATTTTAAGGGGGTTGCATCATACATGAGATATAAAATTAGCATATGTACTGCTGGCCCTGGCTATGCCATTGACCAAATTATATATCCATTTAGCATAGTCAAAAAGTACAGCTGTATTTAAAATAAACATGATTTTGATAAAACTGATGTTTTGCTTAACTGTATCCAATAATGTAATATTCATATATTAGTATCATATTATAAAATACAAACATAGCGAACATGATACTTTTCCATTGTTTATGTTTATAAGATGTTTAGCTTTTTCTCGTTTGGTTGTTTATGGCTGTGTACATGTACGTAATGAGTATAGTGTTACTAATAATACTTTTATCATTCTCTTTTACTTTTTTAACTTATTTAACTAGAAGATGGGATAAAGAGATAGAGGAAAAGAGCTTAGTTTATTGTAATTTGGTCTCTCAAAAAAGGAACACACATGATACACGAGATACATGATAAAATTTTTTATAAGTGAAAATTTGGAGGTCACAAGATTGCATGTTACATGAGTATATCCAATAATCCTTAAATGTGTATAGTAGAATAAAATACCACAGAAATTTTCTGGAATGAGTTTTCTTTTCTCTAGTGTTCAGTGCTTGGGTTCAGATATAAGTTAGGATTTTTAATACTTTACCTGAAAAATAGGCAAAAATTATAATTTTATAC